TCGCTGTACCTGTCAAAGTGAGTGGATAAACAAAAAAATTATTTTGAGACGGAATACTATTACGGTAAACTAGTTTGCAGCCGGTAGTGTCAATTTTCAGGCGGAATGAACTATTAAAATGCTGTTTCAAGTTAAGGCCCTTATGCCCGAGGTCGCCTTTCTTGCCATTCGATCTTCCCCTGTTTCCAAAAATTCAAAAACCCTTAAATATGAATTCCTTCTCTCATCACCTTTTATTCTTCGATTTCCCTCTTTTTCTCTTCATTCAGAACCCCTCTATTCTATCTTTGATTTTCCTAACTCAATTCCATTCTTTTTCAATTTCCTCTTCAGACCTCCGCTTGGAATCATAGAGGAAGAACGACCGAAAAACAAAATGTTGAGGAAGAGGTTCACCTCGTCATCAAAAGTAAGCTTTCTTGTTTGGCACCTTTTGTTGGATTGTTTGCCGATAAAAGATAATCTTATGAGCAGAGGTATTTCCTTGGGCCTTTCCTTTTTTGCTTGTTCTCATCTGGGTATTTGAACTTATTTGAATTTCGAATTGGGTATTCAAAAAGATTGGTATTTGTTTCTCGGTTTTTAGTAAGAGAAAGAAAGAATTCTGGGATTTTTGTTTCCACTCAATTGTATACTTTTTGCTTGCCAAGAAAATATTTCTCTGCTCATACTAAGGGTTTGTGAATTTTTGGAAACAGGAGAAAGTTGAAGACAAGAAAAGCTAACTTGGGGACAAGGGGCCTTAACTTGAAACAGCGTCAATGCAATAATCGGCTACAAACCAGTTTACCGTAATTATGAGAAAGTAATTAATTTAAATCCATGGCCGGGCATAATCATTATTGTTCTGTTACGTTGCGTCCTCTGCTAAAATTACTTGTTTGTTCTCTCCCAGAAGTATCAAACTTCTAAGCCGCTATAAATTCAACAAAAGAAATTCTAAAACTAACACCAAACCCAGAAAGCCAACATGCAGCAGGTAACCGATTCTTCGTTTTCATTTTTTACTTATTCATTACATGTCTTCGTTTATGGAGGGGAACTTGATTTTGCTGAGTTTTCGTTTGCAGTTCATCACCATTCTGTTGTTCATTTCTTCTTTTCTTCTGGGATCTTGCTCTGCACTCAAGGTGTGTGAATCTCAGAAAAAAAGAAAAAGAAAAAGTGAAATTTCTTTTTAACTTAAAGGCTGCCTGGTATATATGATCGACTAGGAATTCATACACTAATTTTTTAAAATATCTTAATTTTATTATTGTCTAAAACATATAAATTAGTATTTTATAGTAATAATTTTTTTAAGAAGTGAAATTTGGATACATACGCCATAAACTTTAGATTGTCTTACCATTAACCATGTAACATGATTGTAAAATTATTTGTATTTTTAGTTATAAATTTATAATTTAATTTTTAGTCTTTTTATAAAAAAAATAAGATTGTCTATATATATATATAAGAGGGAGGATCCACTTATCATTTATTTCTTTTTATTTTTAATAGTTGAGATTTATTATAATTTTTTAAATAAAAAAATAATTATTTTTAATAAATATGAATAAATTTTAATTATTAAAAGAAGTAATATAAATAATTAAAATTTTATATAAATATAATGTATAAAATTTATATATAATAAAAATCTTATTTTACAGTATGTATTACATTGGATTATAAAACATGAACAATTGAATAGAGAGAACCGTCAATATTAGAAACACAATCTCCAATATCGAAAGCCTAACTCTTTTTATCCCAAAATAACTATTATTTTTTTAACTATGAGTTTGTCTAAATTAATAGTTGTTTCTTTAGAACTAAATAAAAATTTTTCTTACTTTAATCCTATTATTATTTATTTTAACTAATTATCTTATTATAAAAAATATCTCTTTATTTTTCTTAAAGATAATATAAATAAATATATGAATGGAGAAAATAATAAAAAAAACAATTATTTTATGAGACATGGAGTATGAAGAAATCAATCTAAAATACATTCTAAATAGAAAAACTAGCATATGCAAAGTGCAAGTAAAATTTTACTAATTAAAAAAAAGTCAATTATAACATAAATTAAATATTTGCTTATATTTTTTTATAAAAATAAAAAGTAAAATGCACGACTCACCTTGTGCCAATCAATCGAAATTCCTTAAATTTGGAGAGGCGAAAAACAGGGAAGTGGAGAGGATCCTGACCAATCCCTTACCATCCTTTTTATGATTAAGCGAAACAAAGAAAATGAGAGATTCTCCATGCATGTCCTTCTCAAACTCTCAGCCTAAACTCACCTGAGAAAAATTCATTTCTCATTTCATCATTTTGGATTTGGGTTTTGAGCAGGAGGGGAAAACATGCTTTAAAAATAGCAACTGCGACTCCGGCTTGCACTGTGAAACCTGCATTGCTAATGGAAACCTGCGGCCCAGATGCACCAGAATTAAGCCTGTAAACGCCTTTTCAAAGGTTCGTGCCATTCATTAATGTCTTACTTTTCTACATACATACATAGCTTTTATAGATGTAAACTGTTTGCGGTTTTCGTGGGTTTTGGGTTAGGTTAAGGGGCTGCCTTTCAATCGGTACTCGTGGCTGACTACGCACAATTCGTTTGCGATGCTGGGAGAGAGATCGGCGACAGGGTCTGTGATTCTGGCTCCCACGAATCAGCAGGACTCCATTACCAGTCAACTCAATGTATGCCTTCTTCTTTTCTATCTAATTTGCTTAGGAGTTCAGTATTTTTCAGTACTGCAAAAAAAAGAAAAAAAGTATGGTTAGGGTGGTGAAGTTCTCAAACACAATGAATGAATTAACATGGAGAATCTGAATTCCAGTACAATGGTACGAGTAAAGCAAATTAAGGGATAAAAACAAATTACCTTTTATTAT